ACACAAAAGAAATAGAGGAATAACTTCAAAAATACAAAATATCCAAACTATCAGAAGACCAGAAAGAGAGATTTTAAATAACCCAATCTCAGAAAAGAAAATAGATCCAGCTATAAAGGAGCTACTGAAGAAAAAAATTCATCATCTTGATGTATTGATTCACGGGAGATTTTATTAAACTTTTAAAGAACAAAAAAAAAGTACCTATACTTCACAAATTATTATCAAAAATTGAGAAAAGAAGCTCTCTACCAGAATCCTTTCATGAGAATATAGTCCTATTACTTAAACCATGGAAAGATAAAATACAAAAGGAAAATTATAGGCCAATATCAATAATCCACATTGACTCAAAAATTTTTAACAAAATCCTGCCAAACAGACTACCCAAGACTTAGCCAAGAAATCATTATGACCAACTAGGGATTGCAAGGATGATTCAACATTAAGAAAACAATCAATATAATTAATCATACTAAAAACCAAAACATCCAAAACCACATAATCATCTCAACAGATGAAAACATAGCCTTTAAGTAGAGAATTCTTTTATGCTAAAAACCCTATAAAGTATTAGCATAAAGGGATCTTTTTTCATATCATCAAAAGTAATATCCAAAACTAAAAGCAAGTATTATATGCATATTTTCAATAAATGTGAGAGTGAAACATGGATGCCCACTCTCCCCACTAGAAATGCTAGCAACAGCCATAAGAAAAGAGAAAGAAATTAAAGGCATAATGAGAGGTAAAGAAGAGATTTAAACTATCCCTATTTGCTGACAGTATACTTGGAAAATTCTAGGTAATCAGCAAAGATACTAATTGAGACAATTGGTAGCTTTAGCAAAGTCACAAGGTACAAAATAAACCTTTAAAAACCAATAGCATTTCTCTATGATAATAACAAAACCTAAGAAATAATAATAGAAGGGGAAATCTCATTCCAAATAACCACGAAACCCAAGAAATCTAGATTACTAGTGTCAAACTCAAATAGAAACAGATATCTGCTGACTGCATATTGACTTAGAAAACCACCAATTTATATTATCTGTGTTGTACTGTATTTTTATTTATTTTGTTAAACATTCCCCAATTACATTTTAATCTGATTCTGAGTTTTGTGGGTGCTAGTAGCTGCCAGGCCTGAGTTTGATACTTTTGATCTAGAACAACAAGCGAAATGATGAAACAAGTAGGGATAAAAAGAGAATAGTACCTCTAGACCAAAAACCATATTATAAATCAGCAGTCATCAAAACTATGTAGTACTGGTTAAAAAATAGAGAGATAAATCAGTGGAAAAGACTAGACGAGAGAAAATCAGAAACAATGGATCTCAATAACCCAGTGTTTGATGAAGTGAAAAATATAAATTACCTAGGAAAAAACTCCTTATTTGATAAAAACCACTGGAAAAACTAGAAAACACTCTGGTACAAATTAGGATTAGAGCAACACCTTACACCATATTCTACAACATATTCTAAATGGATACATTACCTTAATATTAAAGATTATACTATAAAAAAATTAGGAGAGAAGCAAATCACACTTTCAAAGCTATGAGTAGGAGATGTATTCCTAACCAAACAAGAGATAGAGGCAGCTATAAAAGATAAAATGGATAATTTTGATTATATGAAACTGAAAAGTTTCTGTACAAAAATCAATGCACCTAGGATAACAAAGGAAGTGGTTGAATGGGAAAAAGTCTTTGTATTTCTCTAATAAAAGTTTTGTATCCAAGATATGTAAACAATAAATAAATATGTACATAATACTAATATGCATTCCCCGATATATAAGTAGTCAAAGGAGATGAACAAACAGTTCTCAAAAGAATTGTCAATTATTCACAACTACATCAAAGAATGCTCCAAATCGGGGCAGCTAGGTGGCGCGGTGGATAGAGCACCGGCCCTGAAGTCAGGAGGACCTGAGTTCAAATCCAGCCTCAGACCAAACACTTGACACTTACTAGCTGTGTGACCCTGGGCAAGTCACTTAACCCCAATTGCCTAAAAAAAAAAAAAAAAAGAATGCTCCACTAATATAAGAGAAATACAAATGCAAAAACAACCCTGAGGTTTCACCTCACATCCTGCAAATTGGCTACAATGATAAAAAATAGAAATCATCAACGTAGGAAGGGTTGTAGGAACATAGGCATAGTAATAATACATTGTTGGTGTTGTGAAATGGAACAACCATTTTAAAAAGCAATTTGAAATTATTAAAGTAAAATGATTACAATGTCCATATCTTTTGGACTAGAGACTCTATTAAGAGGCTTATACCCGAAGAAGTCATTGATAAGAAAAAAGTTCCCATATATATCAAAATGTTTATAGCAGTACTTTTTGTGATAGCAAAAATTAGAAATAAATAAGATATCCATCAACTGGGAAACGGCTAAACAAATTATGGTACATGAATGTAATGGCATATTACTGTGCTCTAAACCTGTCTTAACCTTCCTTACTAAATTATAAACTCATTGAAGGCTGGGACCATTTTAAATTCAATTTTGATTCTCACCTAAGGTAACCACAGAGCCTAGTACATAGCAGACACGTAAGTGGTTTTTTAATTGAACGTTAAAAAAAAAATGACATAGTCCTCACTCTCAAGAAGCTTATGTTGATACAACATCTTCACAGAGAAGTAAAAATAAAATACAAAACAAATTTTAGGGGTGGGAGGGAATAACTATGGGAGTCAGGGAATCTCAAAGAAGGTAGCACTTGATCTGAGCCTTGAAGAGAGATACATTACAAGAGGAGGAGGAGAGAAGGGAGCTCATTCTAAACCTAGGGACAGCATCTACAGGAGAGGTTCTTAACCTGGGGTCTATAAATTTGTTTTTTGTTTTTCTAGTATTTTGAGAATCGTATTCCAATGTAATCAGATTCTTTTGTTGCCTCGTGTATTTTATTTTATTCATTTAAAGACATTCTTCTCAGAAGGCGTCTGTGGGCTTCATCAGACTGCCAAAGGGAGTTCACCATGACCCCAAAAAAAGGTTAAGAAGCCCTGCTCTACAGCATACTCACACAAGTGGCTATCCAGACTTTGTTGGAAGCGGTTGTGAGAGAGGACCCTCTGCCTCTTAAGGCAGCCCATTTCACTTTGGGGTGGATCCAATTGTTAAGAAGTTTTTCTTTATATCATGCTTACATTTTCCTCTGAGGAACTTCCACTTCCACTCATGGCTCCTAGTTTTATCTTTCTTAGACATAACAACCATTCAAACATCCCCAGTTATTTCAACCTCTTCTTATAAGGCATGAGTTAAAGGTCTTTCACCATCCTGGTTGCCCACCTCTGGTGGCTTACGGTCAAGGTGTTGATGGGGCTCTGCCTCAGCTAGGCTGGCCTGTCACTAGGCCCATATATGATGTCCTTTCAGTTTAGCAGGATCTACCAGAATTTTCACTCCGCTAATATAGTCTTTGCAGGCTGAGGATCCCACTTATACCATGATGCAGCACGGGAGGATTTTAGTGGGAGAAGAATGACAAATGTGAGGTATATAAAGAAAGATGGAAAGAGAGGTTTCATAGGATACACACAGAAAGAAAGTTCATAAAAATCTGATGACTTGGAGCAGCTAGGTGGCTCAGTGGATAGAGCACTGGCACTGGAGTCAGGACCTGGGTTCAAATCCAGCCTCAGACACTTGACACTTACTAGCTGTGTGACCTTGGGCAAGTCACTTAACCCCATTGCCTACCAAAAAAAAAATCTAATGACTCCCTCATTTTACAAATAGAAGACTCATCTTCCTGAGTTCAAACCTGGCCTCAGATACTTTCTAGCTGTGTGACTCTGGGCAAAGTCATTTAACCCTGTTTGCCTCAGTTCCCTCATCCATAAAATGAGCCGGAGAAGAAAATGGCAAACAACTCCAGTATCTTTGCCAAAAAAAACCCTAAAGGGGTCATGAAAAGTTGGACATGACTGAAACAACCAAACAACAACAACAAGAAAACTGAGGCCCAAATGAGTTAAATGATTTGCCCAAGGTTACCACAAGTTAAGTGGGACACCAAATAAAGAAAAGTAGAATCAGAATAGCAGTTTACATATTAACAATTACTATACATATTGACTATTACTTTACTATATAAAAGGAAAATATATACAACTAGGTAGCACAGTGAATAGTGTTGGGCAGAAAGACCTGAGTTCAAATCCAATACCAGGCACTTACTAGCTATGTGACTATGTGATCCTGAGCATGTCATTTAATCTCTGTCTACCTCAGTTTCATGAATTGTAAAATGAGGAGCAATAGCACCTACCTCCAAGGGTTGTTGTGAGGATCAAATGGGATAATATTTATAAAGCACTTAGCACAGTGCCTGATACACAGTAGGTGCTTAATAAATGCTTGTCTCCTTCCTCCAAAAGTACAGGGATAAATGGACAAAGATAACAAAAGGGAATGGAGGAAGAAATAGTTGATAAATTGTTCTAAATATCTGTATGATGCTCATTTTAAGAAAAACTTAGTTACAAGTTTAATTGAATGTTATTACTTAAATGTATCTGTGGCCTCACTTTAGTTCTTTCCTCAAAAGATACACATTGCAGCCCATCCATGCCTGCCTATTCTGTGTAACTCTTGACTTATCCTGGATCCAGCTGGTTTACTGTAGAAGATCAATCCAACACTCTAAAGACCTTCCTCAATTTCTCCTAACATTGTGAGAGTATCAGTGGAGCACTCTGGCCATCTATCTGTCATTCCTCACTCTAACCAGGTGACCAGGTCATCTTGTTTTCAAATCATACAATTCCTCCATGGTTATATGCTGCAGCCTGCTCACACTTGTCCGTGTCTCTATTGCCCTCCCTGTGATACTCATTTAAGTTAAATTTATGATAAATCTCTTACTTAAAAAATGAAAGTTATCCCCACTGCTACAATAACAACTTCCCATCCCCTGATGCCCATCACCTCTAGTTGCCAAGGACAGCTGAAGACTTACCCAGGTCACCAATCCATCACAATCTGCATCCACTTTCCAGAACAGGTATTCCAGGGCTTCATCAGTCACAGATGAAAATGTCTCCTTCATCACCTTTTGAAAACTTTCCATGTTCAAAGCTGAAAATGGGAGATTAATCTATTCAATATATATTTATTAAACATCTACTATATTGAAGGCCACATCCAGGTGTTTTGATACTCTAGAAGGGCAACGTAACCAAGAAAAGACATGTGCTACCAAGGAGGGGAGTTTCATCTGGGAGAAACAGCTGAAGAAGACAGATTCTGTAAAACATCAGAGTCCCCAACCATATTCAGAAGACAATTTACTCTTCATGAGAATATGGACGATTAGAGCTGGAATAGGCAGTGTGATTATAGAAATCGTGAAAAGTGGTAGAAAGAGCACGGACTCCAAGTCCAGAAGAGCTAGAGTCCAGACCACACTCTGCTACTAGCTGAATATGTGACCTTGGGCAATGCGCAATGATTCATATTTATATAGTACTCAAAGGTTTAAAAAGGGTTTTCCTGACAAAAACCCTGTGAGACAGATAATACCACGGCAACCTACCTCCTCTCTCTGGGTCTCCATTTTTACCTTTACAAAAATGGTGGTGGGGTAGAAATAGGAAGGGAGGGATAAAAAGGGATAAGTGGGCCCAGAGTTGAGCTAGAAGAGGAGTTCTTTATGTTTTTTGAGTCATAAACCCCTCTTTGGCAGTCTGGTAAAGCTTATGGACCCCTTCTCAAAATAATGTTGGGTTTTTTTTGGTTGATTTTTTTTTAAATAATGTTTTTAAATGTACAAAATAAAATGCATAAGATTTCAAAGAAAACAAAAGGTTAGTAAAAATAAAGATTTTTTTCTCATCCAAGCTCATGGAACCTCTTAAATCTAACCATGGATCCCTTGCGGGGATCTATGGACCCTAGGTTAAGAAACCCTGGACTACAGAAGATTAGATCTAGAGTTGGAAGAGACCTCAGAACCCATTTAGTCTAACTCCATCTCACTTTACAGGTGAAGAAATTGGGGTCCAAGAAAGTTAAGTGATTTGCCCGAGGCTTTGCAAATAAAAAGTGTCAGAGGTGAAAGTTGAACCCAGGTCCTCTGTCTATAGACCCAGTGCTCATTCTCCTGTACTATCATCTCTAAAGTCCTATCTATCTCTAAAGTTCTAATGTTCTGTGATTTTTAGTCATAATACACAAGGTTGGCTGGGTGGTTTTTGTTTGTTTGTTTTTGGTGAGGCAACTGGGGTTAAGAGACTTGCCCTCAGTCACACTGCTAGTGAGTTTTTTTTAACGTGTCTGAGGCCGAATTTGAACTCAGGTCCTCCTGACTCCAGGGCCAGTGCTTCCACTGTGCTACTTAGCTACCCCAAGGGTTGGCTGTTTTGATCTTAGATTATAAGCTCGTGGAGGGCAGGAACTGTCTTTTGCCTCTTTTTTATATCCTTAGCATGTGAGTAGCACATAGTAGGTACTTAATAAATGTTTATGGAATTCAATTGGAGAAGTTTTTTTGTTTGTTTGTTTTTTTACTTGACCTGTAAATGCTTTGATATCAGTGATTCCCAATGAGGAAACTCTCCCTACCAATGTAGATCAGCGCCAGCTCTACAACTTATAGTCTGAGAGAGATACCTGGGACAAGGAGAGTTTAAGTTATTTACCCAGGGTAACATAATCAGTATATGTCAGAAATAAGACTTGAACCTAGATATTCTTGACTCTGAGGCTAGTAGGCTTATTAAATCAAGGAAAAGTTGATTTCTGTCCCCTCAATTAACCAACACCATCACCAGTCCTCCTCTCTCATTCCTCTCCCTGTCACGTACATACACAAAAATTGAGTCAAAGCAGTTTTACCTCCATTGTGGTCTGCAGCCTTTTCAAACATTTTCTCCAATGTTTGTAGTATCTCCTGGTTTATACACACTTCTGTATCTGGCTGGGAGCAGATAGACTGACTAGCTGTGGTTGTCTCAGATTTAGCTCGGATCTTCTTTGGTCCATTTGACTTGAACAGAAAAGTGTTCCATTTTTAAGCACACTCAATTTAAAGAAAGATTTGAAGACATTCTCTCAAGAAGAGAAATTAAATGCCTTTGATGTTATAAGCTGATATATAAGGAATTAAATCAAAGCCCTTAGAACTGAATGGGTAGGGTTGTGAATTGATCCAACCATCCTGGAAAACAATTTGGAACTATACCCACAGTGCATACCCTTTGGTACGTTCATACCCTTTGATCCAACAATACCACTACTAGGTTTGTATCCCAAAGAGATTTTTTTAAAAAGGAGAGGGGGAGGCTGCCACAGGAAGGGCTAATTTGTGCAAAAATATTTATAGCAGTTCTTTTTGTGGTGGCAAAGAATTGGAAAATGATGCCCATCAATTGGGGAACAAGTTGTGGTATATGATTGTAAAGGAATATTGCGGTGTTATAAGAAACGATAAGCAGGATGATTTCAGAAAAACCTAGAAAGACTTAAACGAACTGATGCAAAGTGAAGTGAACATAACCAGGAGAACACTGTACATAGTAATAGCAATATTGTACAATAATCAACTGTGAATGATTTAGCTATTCTCAGCGATACAATGATCTAAGACAATTCCAAAAGACTCATGATGAAAAATGCCATCCACCTCCAGAGAAAGAACTGATGGAATCTGAATGCAGATCAAAGCATTCTATTTTTCACTTTATTTTTTGTGGGGTTTTTCTTTTAGGTCTATGTCTTCTTTCACAACATGACTAACATAAAAATTTTTTTTGCATCATTGTACATCCATAACCTATATCAAGGTGCTTACCATCTCAGGGAGGAAGGAGAGGAGGGAAGTAGGGAGAGAATTTGGAACTCAACATTTTTTTTAAATGAATGTCAAAAATTACATGTAATTGGGGAAAAAAGTAAAATATTATTAAAAAAAAAAAAAAGAAGAACTGAATGATCAATGAATGCAGGACATCACCTGATCTGGGCTCCTGTCTTCAATCAGGCATTGTTCTCCTTTCTTATCTCTACCTCTTGGAATTCATGGTTTCTTTCAAAACTCAGCTAACGTGTTGTTAGCTCGTCCTGTAAAAAGTCTTTCTTCCCCAACCCCACTGCCACCTCAAGGGCCCTTCCACCTAAGTTTACTTTGTGCATACCCTTTGTATGAGTTTCATATATACTTACATGAAACTAGAAATACAAACTCTTTGAGAACATAGATCATTCCATTTCTGTCTTTGTGTCTCCAGAACTTAGACAAAAACCGGGCTCAACTGAGTTATCACCCCTATTGTCCAGCTGACACAAAAGAGATCCAGAGAAACGACTTGTCCAAAGTCATACTTGACTAGCATTAAATGCTAAAATCAGAAAAATCACAGACTCAGAATTGGAAGCCACCTTAGAAGTCAACCACTGTGATCCTTGCTCAAGCCTGACTGAATATACTTGCAAATTTGATAAACATGCCCTCTCTACCTTCATCCAAGGGATAAATGTTCAATGGAAGGTCAAATGATTCCAAATTAACTGTGGACTAAATTCTATATTATTTCTTTAAGTCTTTAAGTAGTCAAGTCCAAGTCCAAACCATTTCATAATATAGTGGAAAGAACATGAATTGGGCGTAGGTCCTGACTCTGCCACATATGAGATGTGTAAACATGGGCAAGTTATATAACTTCTCAGATGCTGTTTCCTCTGCTATAAAATGAGGAGGCTGGAATAGATGACTTCTAAGGTTTCTTTCCAGCTCTAATATCCTATATTTTGGCTCCTTCATACCTAACTGTTATTCTCCCACAACTGCCCTTGCTCAGGCCAATCTCCCCATGTTCTCCAAGAAACTCTAAGAAGCCCATTCCTACTTCCACTTTTTAGAATCATAGATTTAGAGATAAAAGGGCCCTTAAAGACTAAATAGTCCAACCCCCTTGTTTTATAGATAGAGGCAGTGAAGAGAGGTAGAATTTGAACCCAGTTTCTTTGACATGACCTATGAACTTTTCCATACTATCTTCCTGGTTCTTGAAGTTCCCTCTATCTGGAATTCTTACAATGACCTCCCCCTACCCAAAACCAACCCATAATTTAAAGATCCCTCCCCTAATAGCTTCAAGACTGGTTGATAACCAGAGGAGAGCTGCCCATAAAAAAAAAAAAAGAAAAAAAAAAAAACATGGTACATAGAAACTCTCTAAGTTTATAGCTTTCTAGCTGTTCCTCACATACAAAATTCCAGATCCCATGTCCCTATGCCTGGAATGTGCTCCCTCCCCACCTCTGCCTCCAAGAGTCACCAAGTTTCCTTCAACGTTCTTACATCTAAATTAGGGAAAGTAAACATAGAGAAAGAAAACTATAGACCAATTTCTCTAATCAATATTGATACAAAATTTTTAAATAAAAAAATACTACCATGTTTAGCTCCAATGCCACCTCCTACATGAGACCTTTCCTGATCCTTTCTCTCCACCCCTAGCCTCCACCCAGCTGTTACAATGACTTCCTTACCTTGTGAGATGTGGTATGTTTTCTGGATTTTCCATCCTTAGATGTTTTATTTGACCTAAAATTAGGAATCAAAAGCAGTTCAGCAATGAGTTTTGCGTGGAAAGACTGGGCAAGTAGCTTAAGCTCAGTCAATTAGAACATAGTAAGAATGAAGCCAGAGTCACTAATTTAACCTTCTCATGGACCAGTTAGCTATGTCCAGCGCCAGGTACAGAAGCTGAATCCCATGTTCTTGGCAAATCAACTCAAAAACACAGGGCTGTAATAACTCTATCAATTGTAGAAAAAAGGGCATTGGACTGAGAGTCAAGATACCTGGGTTTGAAACCCAGCTCCAACACTTACAGGCAATATGACCTTGGGCAAGTCTTTGACTCAGTTTTCCCATCTATAAAGATGAGGCTTTGTTTTCATCTCTCCTATACAGGTATCATACCTCTTTCCTATTATAGTTAGCTGAATATTTCTTATATTCCCCTACTAGCTATAAGGACAGGGACTTTGCCTATTTTAACGCCTGTTTCTCCCAAACACTGAGTCATGCATTTTAGATAGGATCACAGACTTTAAGCAGGAAGGGATCTTAGAGGTCATCTAGTCCAACCGCATCATTTTATACATGAAGAAGCTGAGGCTCAGAGAGGTAAATTAACTTGCGTAGTAAGTGGCAGAGTGGGAATATGAACTCAAGGCCTCTGACTCAAATCCCTCCTCTTATCCTTACAACCTGTATGAGTTTAGGTAGGTCACTTAACTTACCTGGGAACCATTTGCTCATCTGTAAAATGAGAGGGGTTAGAACAGCCTGTTTCTACTATGCCAAGCTGCTTGTTGATTTAAATTGATGGGATTAATTTGGAATAATGAAATTATTTCACTTGATGGTTCTTGCTAAAAACTGTTTAAAACCTTAGTCAAGAGGAGTTATAACATGGAGTCAATTGGGGATACAGGTGATAATCAGGGGAGAAGGGCCTGGGTTAAGAAGGTACACCATTCCGACTCCTACCCACCAAGATATATACTTCACTGAGCGTAGCTGTGTATCTTCTCCAATGACTAACATATCTCCACTCCACTTAGCCTATATTTCAGTGACTTCTAAAAACTGTCCATTTTGCCCCATTAGCTATGATGACTTCCTTACCTTGCAAGATGAGCTACTTTCTTTGGATTTTTCATTGCCATATGTTTTACTTGACCTAAAATTAGGAATCAAAAGCAGTTTAACAATGAGTTTTGCGTGGAAAGACTGGGCAAGTAGCTTAAACCCAATCAGAACACAGTGTGAATGAAGCCAAAGTCATGAATTCAATCTTCCTGTGGACCGTTAGCTATGTCCAGTTCCAGGGACAGAAGCTGAACTCCATATTCTTGGCAAAACACAGGCCTGTACTAACTCTATTAATTTTAAAAAAGAGGTCACAGAGGATTAGAAACCAAATGAAATGTTCCTTCCTTACAAACACCAGTAAGTATTGAATTCAAATATGTGCTTTTGACCATAGTAAAGAGCTTTTCTGCACCTGTGCTCTTTAGGGTTTTCAACATGAATGCGATGTTTTGTCTAAGGCTTTATTTTGAATCAACTAGGTGGCATTAGAGCACTGGGCCTGGAGTCAGAAAGACCTGAGTTCAAATCCAACCTCAGACACTTAACTGTGTGACCTGGGAAAGTCACTTAACCTCTGTTTGTCTCAGTTCCCTCAATTACAAAATGGAGATAACAGCAGCTACTTCTCAAGATTGTTGTGAAATGAAATATCAAAAGAAATATTTGTAAAGCCTTAGGACAGTGCCTGGCATATAGTAGGTATTATATAAATGCTTATTCCCTTCCCCTCTCTATTGAAATAATCATATGGTTCTTGTTTTTATTGTTTCCACAAGTAATTGTGCTAATTGTTTTCCCAATGCTGAACCAACTTGAGCTTATTCCTATAGAATCCAACTTGTCTCAGTGAATGGCTTTCTGCACAGATTGCTGTAGTCTCCTTGTGAGGATTTTAGGCAAAACTTTTGCACCAACATTCATTAGTAAGAATGGTCTATAGTTCTATTTCTACTTTTCTCTCCTTGGTTAGGGTATCAGGACTATATCTTACAAAAGAAGTTTGGTAAACTGTACTTTATTTTTGAGAATAATTTTTGTAGCATAGCTATTAGTTGCTCTTTAAATATGGCTAGGTGGCACGGTAGATAGAGTCCTAGGCCTAAAATCAGGAAGACTCATCTTCCTGAGTTCAAATCTACCTCAGATGCTTACTAGCTCTATGACCCTGGGCAAGTCACCTAACTCTGTCTGCCTCCATTTCTTCATCTGTAAACTGGAGAAAGAAATGGCAAGCTGCTCCTGTATCTTTGCCAAGAAAAAAAAACCCCAAAAGTAGTCACAAAGAGTTGGACAAGACTGAAAAGACTAAACAACAACAAATGATAGAATTCACTTGGAAATTCATCTGGCCTAGGAGTTTTTTCCTTTAGTAGTTTTCATTTACATTTGCTCAAATTCATTTTATAAGACTGCATTAAGATCTCTATTCTTATTGTTGTTGTTTTTAAGTCAGATGTGTTTTGTTTTGTTTTTTTGCTTTCTGGTGAGGCAATCGGGGTTAAGTGACTTGCCCAAGGTCACACAACTAGTGTCAAGTGTCTGCGGCAGAAATTGAATTCAGGTCCTCCTGACTCTAAGGCCAAAGCTCTATCCACTGTGCCACCTAGCTGCCCCTCAGGAGTTTATTTTTGAAAGTTCCAATAACTTCCTCTGAATTCTTGGCTTTGTCTTTTTATGTTATATACTTAATCTGTTCCACTGATCAGCTTCTCAATTTTTAACCAGTACCAAATCATTTTGATAACAATTACTTTGTAATATAGTTTAAGATCTTGTATTGCTAGCCCCTTTAGTTCCTTCTTTTTCATCAATTCCCTTCAGATTCTTGACCTTTTATTCATTCTTTGATAGTTTGATTGGAATGGGACTGAACAAGGAAATAATTTAGATTTGTCATTTTTCTTATATTGCCACAAATTACTAATACGCATTTCATATTTCTTCAGTGGTTGAATCTGTGTTTCTTTTGAGTGTTTTGTTATTACATACACATAATTTCTACATGTTTTAGTAGACTTCCAAATATTTTATATATTCTGTAGCTTATATATTCTTTAGCTATTTTAAATGGAATTTCTTTTTGTACCTCTTCCTATTGGGTTTTAATTGGTTATATACAGGAATGCTGATGATTTATGTTGATTTATTTTATATCTTGCTACTTTGCTGAAGTTGTCCCAACTAACTTTTAAATTGACTTTCTAGTGTTTTCTAAGTAAATTATCATATTGTCTACAAAAAGCAATAATTGTGTTTCTTCTTTGCGTAAGCTTATTCTTCAGATTTCTTTTTCTTGTCTCAATGCTATAGTTAGTGTTTCTAGAACTAAGTTAAATAGTAGTGACAATAATGGGCATCCTTGTTTTATATCCATGAATTTACTGAGAAAGCCCCTAATTTTTCTCCACTACATAAAATGTTTGCTCTTGATTTTAAAATAGGTACTATTTATTATAGTGATGAAAAATAAATTTATTCCTCTGTCTTTGGTGCTTAACAGAAATGAGTGTTAGATTTTTGTCAAAAACTTTTTCAGTATGTATTGATTATAATAATGTAATTATATTTATGTAACTAATACAGTTTAAGTTTACAGTCTTTATATTAAATCAAACCTACTTTCCCAGTATAAATCCAACCTGGCCATAGTGCATAATCTTTTTAAGATGTTATTATAACTCAAAATCTCACCAAAGTGAATGTTGAAAACTAAAAATTAATTCATTTTTAAAATGTTATTATAACCTATTTGTTACATTTTATTGAAAATTTTTACATCGGTGGTCATTATAGATATTAGCCTACAGTTTTCTTTCTCTTACTTTGTCTCGCCTTAGTTTACATATCAAAAACATATTTGCTGTCTGAGGATGTGGGAAAATTGGGACACTAACACACTGTTGGTGAAATTGTGAAATGGTCTAACCATTCAGGGGAGTAATTTGGAACTATGCTCAAAGGGCAACCAAACTGTGCATACCCTTTGATCCAGGAATATCACTACTAGGTCTGTATCCCAAAGAAATCATAAAAAAGGGTAAAGGACTTACATGTGCAAAAAGATTTATAGCAACCCTTTTTGTGGTAAAAAATAATGGAAATTGAGGGGATGCCCACCAATTGGAGAATGGCTGAACAAACTGTGGCACATTAATGTAATGGAATACTATTGTGCAATAAGAAATGATGAGCAGGTAGGTTTCAGAAAAACTTGGAAAAACTTGTACAAACTGATGCAAAGCAAAATAAGCAGAACTAGGAAAACATTGTACACAGTATCAGCAACATTGTGTGATAATCAAATATGAATGACTCAGCTCTTCTCAGCAACACAATGATCCAAGACAAGTACAAAGGACTCATGATGGAAAATGCTATCCACATCCATATAAAGAACTGATGGACTCTGAATGCAAATCAAGGCACACTTTTTCCATTTTATTTTTTTCATGGTTTTTTTTTTCTTTTTGATCTGTTTCTTCTTTCACAACTGTGACTAATATGGAAATATGTTTTACATAATTGTACATATATAACCTATATCAAATTGCCTACCATTTTAGGAAGAGGGGAGGGGAGAGAGAGGGAGAAATATTTGGAACTCAAAATCTTCTAAAAATGAATGCTAAAAATTGTCTTGACATATAATTGGGAAAAAACTTAAATACTATCAAAATTAAAAAAAAAAGTTTGTATCATGGAAAGTTTTTGGAAGAGCCCTTTCTTTTCCTCTTTTTCCAAGAATTTATTAATTTAGAATTAATTTTTGAATGTTTGATAAAATTCACTGGTAAATCCATCTGATCCTGGTGTTCCCTCCCACTTCTTTGGGATTTTATTTCTGGCTTACTCAACTTCTTTTTCTTAATGTTTCTTCTGCTGGTCTGGGTATTTTATATCTAAGAATTTATCCATTTAATTTGTTTTGTTGGTACATAATTGAACAAAAATAATTTGTTTTATTTCCTCTTCAAATGTGAAATTTCTAATTTTTGATGTGCAGAATATGGTTTTCTTCTCTTTTTAAAAGTCAGATTAGTTATTTGTCTTTTTTATTTTTTTTTTTAATTAACTCCTAGCTTTACTTATTCCAATGGCATTTTTGTATTTCAATCTTGTTAATCTCTTGATTTTCAGAATTTTTACTTTGTTGTTTACTTCAAGGTTTTTGACATGTCTTTCTGGGGCTTTTTGTTGCATACCCAATTCATTGCTTTGTTTTTTTTCCCTCTTTTGTTGATAACGGTGTTTAGATATATAAAAATTTCCCCCTTAATGGTTGCTTTAGCTACATCCCATAAGCTTTTGTATGCTATCTCATTATAATAATGAGATAATTTTTATTGAATACAGTTTTATTGCATTGTGATCAGCAAGGATATGTTTAGTATTTCTGCTTTCGGTAAGGTTTCTATGCCCCAATACATGTTTAATTTTTTACCAAGTTTACATGTATGATTGAGAAAGAATATAAACCTCTGTGTTCCCATTTAGAAATCACCAGAAAGCTATTATATCTAATTTTTCTAAAGTTCTATTCATGTCCTTAGCTTCTTTTTTGTTTAGTTTTTTGTTAGTTTCTCTAGATCTGAAAGGGATACTTTCAATGAGATCCTCCACTATTAAACTGTACTTTGGGTGTTTACTTTTCCCTACAATTTGATTAACTTTCACTTGAAGTATTAATAGGGCAGCTAGGTGGTATTTAGATACTCCAGTATTTTTGCCAAGCCCAAATGAGGTCATAATGAGTCAGACATGACTAAAATGACTGAATAGCAACAACAAAAATACTCATTTTGGTGCAGCAAGGTGGCATAGTAGAATGCCACACCTGAAGTCAGGAAAACTCATCTTCCTGAATTCAAATCTGGCTTCAGATACTTACTAGCTGTGTGACCCTGGGCAAGTCACTTAGCCCTGTTTGCTTCAGTTTCTCATCTGTAAAAAGAGCTGGAGAAGGAAATGGCAAACCACTCCAGTATCTTTGCCAAGAAAACCCCAAATGAGGTCACAAAAGAGTCAGACACAACTGAACAACAATTTATTAAGATGCTATGCTGTTCAGAACATGTAAGTATTGCCATAGATATTGATTCACAAGCAATTCACAAAATTTGATTCATAAGCAAAATGTCATTTGTTTATTGTGGCATTTTACTGTCTATATTTAGTTTTATCCGAAAAGATGGCTACTCTTGCCTTTTTTAGTTCATATTAAGTAAAATAGATTCTCTTTCAGTTCCTCTCATTTTAACTTTATGTGAATCTTTGTGTTTCAAGTATACTTCTTGAAAATAACATATTGCTGGATTGCTTTGTAATCCATGCTGTTATACACTTGCATTTTATGGATGAGTTTATCTCATTCACTTTCATAATTATCATTATTGTGTATTTCCCTCCATCTTGTACTTTTTCCAAACTTTACCCCACT